TTTCGTGACCAGTAAAATTGAAGGACTCTGGCCACACGCAGGACAAAGACCAACGGAGCTCCACCCCTGAAAATACCCCCGTCTCCCAGAATTGAATCGTGAGGAAATAGACATGCATTGCGTAGCGTCCATGATCGCGTTTCGCACGTGAGAACCCAGCGTCAGAAGAATAATGTTTTCTCTTTTTTTACACTATTCAGCCAATAGTGCTTTTTGCCGCATGGGGCGTTTTTCTGTCGCGAGAAGCGCGGTATGCGTTTCCAGTTCTAGTTACTTGCGTGCCCGTTTAAAAATACTATGAAGTGAACAAAACAAATAATGTTCTCGGCTAGGCGTTAGTATTTCACAGCGGTGTCTCGAGCACACATTTCCGGATGCTCTTGACAGGCACCCAGCCAGCGAATAGTCGACAGTGAGGCGCGAGCGGACGGAAAAGTGATGAGCAGGGGGGAGAGAGAGCAAACGACGGGGGAAGGCGCGGCGAAGCACTGCGCCTACCCTCTCCTACACTCTTTCGCACCACATGCTCCGGCTGCTAGAGGTGAGGATGAGCATGCGCACTCACAGCTGTTGCTATAGGAGAGGAAGTGAGAGGGAAGGATAACACGTGCCGGCGCGGGACACCACCGAGGACAACGCCAGATGCCTGACATATCCAGGCTAAGAAATCCATTCGCAATTGAAAAAAAAGGGGGGCATGCTCCCACATACAGTGGGAATCGATGATATGCGAAGCACGAACAACAAAGGTCGATATGCCACTTTAAAATCAGCACACTGTTACGAGGCGCAAGTAAATTATGCCGTACATGACTTTCATATCATGATTATCATGTTTAGACGTGTCATTTACGTTTGTCGTCTACTCACGTCACGTCATACCAATTTCGACATATATGAAGCTAGCGAAACGACCACGAGCGTGCTATGAGCATATAGCATGTAGTCTTGTATTACATGACACGCATGACACGCATTTGCTTATTATCATGTTTGGACGTGTCATTTACCTTCGTCGCCTATTCATATCACGAGATACCAAAGTTGGTTCTTGTGAAGCTAGCGAAACAGTCGCGAGCACGCTATGAGCGCAGCTTGTAGTCATGTTTTACATGACACGCATGTCATGATTACCATGTTTAGACGTATCATTAAACTTTGTCATCTGTTCGCGTTACGTAATACGAAATTTGGTATATGTAAAGCTTGCTAAACGGCTGCGAGCGCATCATGAGCGTAGCACGTAGTCATGACTTATATGGCATACATCTCATGATTTCTATGTTAGGGTCTGTCACTTATGTTCGCCATGCAGTGATGTCATACTATACCAGTTTCGCAATGTCATGTGAACTAAACCACAACAAGAGCCGGAAGACCATTAAAGGTAAATTATGACATTCGCGACATACATGTCACGATTTTCATGTTATCACTAGTCACTTATGATCGTCATAGTCATGTTATCCCGTACCGATTTTGGTATCGATACCAATATGGAACGGCCATGAAAGCTAAATGTCGTGGGCGCCGACATAGATAGATAGATAGATAGATAGATAGATCGATAGATAGATAGATAGATAGATAGATAGATAGATAGATAGATAGATACGCTCAAAGTCACCGATGTTCGCTAAGAATTGATTAGGGTTTAAAAAACAGTCTCATAGCCAGAAAGCAGTAATGCGAACTTGGTTGCAGCCCTCAAAATAACTGTACTGTGATTCGTCACCCAAAACACTGATTGGCTAAGCAGTTAATTCAACATACCAAGGCTACAGTGCCGTGAAGAGCAGTGCGCAAGAGACTTAAAAACGGACGCCAAGAGCGCTGTGGTCGTTTCCTGCGGGGTGGCCTTAAGGTGACCTTGGAAAAAGCCTCAAACCTCTGGCACCCGTCCATTCAGTTACGAGGGAGAACCTGGCGCGCGAACGCAACTTAGACACGGGTCGTTTCATCGTCGTTCAATTCGCAGCGAAATGCCGTGGCACGTATTCGCGTTCGCAACTTTCTTCCCTCTCGGTCGCGCATCAAGAGCAACGCGAAGGGCGTACAGTGGCCTGAAAGGTGACAACGCCATCTGGCTCGCGTCGTTGGCGATGCCAGCTTGAAGACGACGTGACGTGAAGCCCAACCATTGTCTCTCGTTTGTCCAAGAGCTCGACGTATTTTGTCAGCGTGCCCCCTCATAGGTGTCAGCTGGCCAGATAGCGGTGTCAGCGCGCTTTCGCGGGGAACCCTCACGTGCGGCCGCTGAATTTGTGATGAGCGTAGCCGCCCCTCTCGGCACCAATCTATCATGCACTTCTTGGCAAACATGCTTATGCCCATTCACGTTACATGGCATTGTGAATTCAGTAGGCGTTGTCCCAACAACACTTTCTAAAAATGGCTTACAGTGCAATGCATGCTTTGTTTAACACACATTCTATAAATAGATTAGTTGCAGAGCGAAATTCCTTCTTATACTATCGATTGTTATGATTAACTTCTAAAAAAAAAGCACGTAATGTCACAGCTGGTGTAAGTGTTCTAGCCAAAATTAACTGATTCGATATTACATCAGGTATTCTGTATAAATGTTCTACAAATTAATCCTGTCGTATACCCTCATTTATTTCGCTGAAATGCTTCCTTTTGGCTTAGTGGCTGTTGCTTTAGCGTAGAACTGCTACAACCGAACAACTTATTAGGTATGGGCTAACATCATGGTTGCAGTGCATTTGAGCTCGTTTCTGTGGAGCATAGCGTCGAAGCAGTCGGTTGCACTTGAGCACTCACTGGCAGCAGTCGGGGAACAATGAGCAAGGGGTGACTGTAGTCTGAGAATGCTTATCTTTCTGCAAGGAACAGCGATTATTAAGAATAGCTTGGCCGTCCTCAAGAAGGCCCCTAAAGTTCTCGATAACGAAGTTGATTTGAAAAATCTCGAAATAACACCGGCGAAGCGCAGTAGGCGTAGTCCAATATGTAGAAGCGTGCCGTTGTAACTCCTATAAATATCAAGAAAATTTTCCAGTGCACAAACGAATACATGGTGCCTTAACCCGACCAACGGGTGTTCGTCCTTAAAGGGACCCGGCGGCCCATTTTGAGCATGTCTTTTTCATCTGTTCTTCTGGTGCTGTGGTTGCGCGATTGGCAACGCCGAAATCGACGCTGTTATCATTTTATTTCACGGGGCAAAATACCTTGATTGCGGACTACGGTGACACACATCGGCTATTTGCGCTATGGGAAGTGATGTCGTTTCATGTGAGGTGACGACGAAAATCGCTCGCTTTTGACTGGCTGGTCGCACCAAATAGGGTTCAATATTTATGTGGTAGCTAGGCCATACGTATGAATGTTAAAAACAGCGAAAGCTCTTTTTACACTTTCTCAGAGAGAAACCATTCCATTTTCTCAATGGTGTACTTTCAGAACGACGAACACAACACTTAGCCTGCGAACGAAGCTATAGATGGTGCGCCAGCAACTAAAGGTAGAAACGCATGCACCGTTTTTAGCGAGCCAGAAATGCGACAGGCAGTGGGCCCCCGCGTTGCCGTAGAATGCGTCTTGCAAGCAAGGGCAGAAGTTACCCCGCCCTAAGCGTATGTGTGTATTTTACACACTGTGACAGTGAGAGCGTCTGCTACACGACTGGTATATTCTAGGCAGTATAATACGACGCACGTGGTCCGTAGTAACCATGCTAACGACGCCGTCAAAAAGAACGGTAGTGAGGTATTGTGTGAAGGGCACCATGAGGTGGCATTCCCGGTATAACTTTACTAGACGCGCGCTGTGATTGGAAGCGGTCTTTGACGTCAGCAGGCGAGTGAAATGCGAAATAGAACGTTTCCTGTTGTCGTCTGCTCGAGTTTCAAGCTTTGAGGACTCATAACTTGACTTAACGTCCACCAATTTCTATATTCTTGTTTCATTTCTCAGAGCTCATCGCAACACACGTTCCGGTGCTAAACAAGGCTGTCCAAAAAGTGTCGCAAGGCCGCTTAAGGCAGAAGAGTTCTTAACTTCGTTTAGGGGCACTGATGGAAAGCGGACAATGCCAGCTTTCAGTGCACGCATACCTACATCCAGCGTGATACGTAACTGTTACAAGTAGTTGGGAGCTATGTAATGTCGGGGGAGCGGCGGTGCTATGTAACAGAGGACAAACATCAGCATTGATGTTGGCTGAAGGTCCTCTGCATTTCTTGCTGCTTAACTTTACTGACTGACGGAACCTTAGCCCAAGCAGTATTTGGTTAACATGCGTACTAACTCGTGATCACCCGGGTGTTTGGACGTACTCCTGCTCTAGAACATTTCTGAAATGACAGGCTGAATTTTGCACTTTTTCAAAAGTAGTTTGGTGCCACTTTGACTTTCGCATTCTGCGCTTCAGCTGGCCGATTGTGAAGTAGTGAGTATTAGACAATACAGAGCACTTTTTAAGTGCCGAGATTGGTCAGAAGCAATACACGACGAGAGGGAGTCCTCGAATTCCACTTGTCTGCGGCCAAGCGTCACTCAAAAGCTTTGCTTCTTACTTGGCTTAAGACGAATGTGACGATACCACAGCCGTTAGCTCGCCTTAATTTCTTGGCTGCTTTGTATAGTACTCAAAGCGCCTGCAAAGCTTTTGGTACCATGCACACTACATACCTCTGTTCCACTCAGTCAGCAAGGAAGCCACTACATTTTTATGTTTTACATTGAAAGTTCACAGAGAATGCTTTTTTTGCAAAAGACCTTTACATGGAATATCGGTCTTATATAGATCCTATCCTGAAAATTCTATATTCGTTTATTTGGTGTAGATTTTTTTCTTATTGCGCATTCATGCCCCCTGTGTGTCGATTAATAGCCACAAAGATTTCACACTATACGTAACCATTCATTCGTTCATGCAACTAGTTATTACTGTGGAGAAGCCATTTTAAACTGCTTTTGCTTCGTTAAACATTAAAAGGTACCTAACCGTATGCCACCTTCTTTTTCAATTTCAGTGACGTGGACATCGATATGCCGAGCGTCCTGGCAGTCGCTCGACTCCAGCAAGCCTGAGCACGCCTCCTAGCCACATCCTCTGTTCAACACGCGGCGCACACCTGAGCATTCGGCGACTCTCGCCATTCACCACCTCGAATAATCACCAAGAAAAGTACGCATTTGGTCTTTTGTCTTTCCAAACTGTGTTTCGTTGCATGCATCTAAAATTTAAGTTTACCGCAATACATTTTTTGAAAATGTGTGCGAAATCAACACCATCTTGTAATGTCAAGGCTGTGTTGATACGAGGCGAAAATTGTGAATTGGAGCTCCGCCTTTTTCCCGTTATATATATATATATATATATATATATATATACATATATATATATATATATATATATATAATATTCTGATGTATAGGTCCAGCGTGATAAAGTTATTCCCTAAGACAATTTACAAAGCTATGACAGACAAATACTGAACTCAGTTTATGTAGGCTTGTGTCAATATTTGTTAATTTAGAAGAACGAATCAAATGGCGTTCTATTCGATTTGGTACTCCAAGCGCAGAGCACATATTCAAAATCCTGAATATTATTCTAATAATTAGCAGCGACAGAAATTATTCGAATCAATCAGACGTGAGATCAGCGAGGGGTAACTTATTCTCATCACTGAATCACCCAGACGCATACAGCCCATGTACTTAAGGCACTATATCGACACCATATTGATGCCAGGATAAAGGAGTTTCGCTCAAAGCTCTAGCGTTCCCGAAGCAACAATGTCAGCAATCACTATGTTCACTATGAAAGTCAATATGATGCTAACTCATGAGGATTGTTCATATCTAAGTATAAGCTTTTATGTAAATTTAGTTGACGAGGTACCACCTTGAATACTGTAGGCACAGCTACATTTTTCAGCCTGCAGTTACTAATTATTTCTAAGGCTGCACTTCCTGCACAGTTTAAATAATTGTAATATAGTATTCGATTTAAAGTACTCGTAATGCGCCATTGTTAAAGGTTTAGAATATTTGCTTTAAATAAAATGTTGTGAAATTCTTGGGCTGTTTGAAAATTGTTTTCTTACTATTCGCCAACTATTATATTAGTACTCGATTTAACCTCATATTTGATTTGGTTCTAAGATTACCCATTCGCTTACCCCAACCTTGTAGACATAGTGGTTCTTTCGGAAGACAACTCAAAAGGGGCTAAGGCAGCGGTAGTGGCAATCACAGGACATAACCAACGGCGAATAGAGCAGCGATATAAAATTGAAGCGAGTATGTTTTGTCGGATTGGCTGTGTTCACTGCTTATCTTTCATCAAAGAAAGGCACCGCACAAAAATGATAGAAGACAAGAAAACTTTTTGACCTCAAATCGCCTACTATTTCACTCTTTATATAACCGCCACTCACCAGCGTCACTTGAAGTGCATTCTTATATTGCCACTTTACTTCATTATAATGTGCCCCGCCACGGTGGTCTAGTGGCTAAGGTACTCGGCTGCTGACCCGCAGGTCGTGGGATTGAATCCCGGCTGTGGCGGCTACATTTACGATGGAGGCGGAAATGCTGTAGGCCCGTGTGCTCAGATTTGGATGCACGTTAAAGAACCCCCTGTGGTCGAAATTTCCGGAGCCCTCCACTACGGCGTCTCGCATATTCATATGGTGGTTTTGGGACGTTAAACCCCACAAATCAAAACTTCATTATAATGTCACATGGTCATGACGTTTACGAAGGTGGCAGTTAGCGTGTCGAATGCGAAATTTTTCATTTGGCCGAGCTTGTGGGCAGGAAACAAACTAAAGCTGCAGCAAGCAATGCACGTTGTACACGGCATTGTTGAGAGTTTTCGTACGCGTGAACCGAATACGGCAAAATTGAAATACGAGGCACGTTTGGCAAAAAAAACTATGCACCGAGAAAACCTGAGTGGTCGACATCGAGATGCCAAATATCGCTGCTTGTGCGTGGTTGCGCGTTACACGTAATAAAGTGTGGTTTTTCATCAACACCGCCAAGCGGATGAATCGGAGAATTCCGTGCCCAGAAATGGAAATTACCAAAACGCGTTGTACACTAAGGCACGTCACGCGAATCTTGGAAGTATAAAATATACGGAGGGCCTGAAGGCGAAGAAAGAATGAGTCGCAGTGGATTCCATTAGCCAGGATTCTCGCACGGTTAGTGGTTATCATTCCATAGCGAGCGTATAAAAGACCGTGGGGTGGTCACTGCGACTTTTGCAAAATGTTTCTATACAATGCAATGGGCCAAAAGTACTTTATTTCTTGTTATAATGAAAGTGGTTCCTAACGCAGAGCACGAAGAATGCTTGCATGTGACCAGTTCGCAAAGAAATCTCACGTTTAACAATATCAGCACGTATAGCACATGTGGTGCTCAAAGTCGTTTATGGAGCACATACTTTTTTTTTCATGTGATAATGTAAGCATTCGTGAAAAGGTTGTGGTGCTTTTGAATTGCTTTTTACCTCGGAGCAGTTTAGGGACAGCACTGTCGTCGTGCTGTGTTTCGCGTTGGTGAAGCGGAGGTCCGAGATTTGGTATACATGTAAGAAGACCACGTTGCACGTTTTTAACACCAGCTCTTGCTTGCTTGTGGACGCCAGCGTCGCCGAAAGGCCCTGGCCACACGTATGCGCCTTTCTGACTAGGCGCCAAGCCCTTTCTCATATATAGAGAGAGAGGGCGCGCAGCTTCGCGTAGCCAGCCACACGCTCACTCTCTCCCAAGATAGAGGGCGGGCCGCCGCATTAGAAAGACACGAGCTTACGCACTTGAGCGCTTACGTATGGCCAGGCTTTCATTTATCCGAGGAGCGAGCGAAGTGAGGCAGATAAAAACGCTTTCTTCCCAATGGCCACTCGCAAACAACACCCTTAAGACAGCAGTTCTGTGGACTGCGGCCCAGACAATCACGATTGATTTCTTTGTGTTAAATTGCTAGCGCTCTTCCTCATAGTTTTTGCACCTATCACTGTGACAATATGTTGGCTCATCTATGTTGGCATATCAACGGCAAGAATTTCGGTAACATACGAACTCCATGTTCGGATTTGTAGCGGAGATGAGAGACTTAGTTGATGGCCAGAGTTAATCATCGTAAACCAGTGTTGGAGATGATAAAGTAGACCCTTGCTGGTTATTTTACGTGCAGACAACTATAAGTACAGAGAAGCTTTGTAGTTCCTGTTTTTCGGTGGGCAGCCGGTCCAACCACGAATCAAACCTGCCCGCCTGTTCTCTACAGCAAGGACGCTATGACCGAGTCGCCGCCTGACGGTTCAAAGGCCGTGTGTAGGAATGCTGTTGCTCAACTGTCTTCACTCCAGAAAAGTTGAGAAATCGCCCAATGAACGAGGGGTTAGTCTCTTTATAAGCGCGCTGTTTGATGTCGTCGTCCGGCCAGCAAACTCATTCTTTTCCCAGCGTAGACAACCCGCGAGAGGTTTCCAGGCTCATATACGAGAGGAACACCAGCATTGTGTCACATAGAGGGGGGCGCCATGCAGAAATAATGGTTCCGGTGGTCGTGCCCTCTCTCTGATGCTCACGCCCGGCTGCTCTCTGTTCACGCTTCCATCCCCATCCGACCGTGGGCGGCGGGCAGGCCGTTCCGGTTCATTCCGGGCTGCCGTGCTGCTCCAGGGTTGCGCTTCCTCGTTTCCATTATCTCTGCACTACCCTTTATTTGCCTTTCTAGAGCTTGCGAACCCCAATGCTTGGTTTATCGGCCTTGGCGCTGGCAAGAGCTCTCCAAACGGCTCCCTCGAACTATGCCTGCGAGTGCGCCCTGCATCCACGGCCGTGCCTAAGAGCGCATGTCACGGAATGCCATTATCGCTGAACGTACACACGAAGTGACAGCGAACTCCATTCGCGTTGCTATTCATGCGGCAATATGAACGCGGGCTTCTGACAAGTGCCGCGGGGTCTACATGTAGGCAGCTCAGGCCAAAGATACGTGGGCAAAAACGAATACGTATACGAAAGAACTGACGCTCACTCCCACAATTGCACAAAAAAAAAAACACACGAGAGGGCAAGCAGAGGTAACTTTCTGCTCTTTCACATCCTTGCGCAAAGGCATGTTTGGACATTTGTATTTCTGCTGTTCATTAATTTCGCGCAGGCGTTGGTGGCCCAAGTGGAGAACTTTCTCTTTCACTCCATGACATCGTGCGTTTTGCTCTGTCTCGTGTCTCCCTCAAGCGCTGTCACTCATAATTAATCTGAAACACGGCCCACGGTGGTGAGACCATGTAGTAGCATGTTTTTCGGGGAATCGCCAATTTACGTTCTTTGAAGAAAGATAGACCTCGCAAGGGAGAAAATGGTTTTCGGTCTATGCCCTCGTATCATTACCGCAAGAGCGTGATGGATGTCCCACGCAAAAAATACCTAATCTAATTGGCATGAGAGTTCCCTTGTGGAGTGTAATATTTGAAAGGTGAAAAATCCCATTCTTGATTTGCGTGAAAAGTACGAATCGACATAACCATCTGTAGGGGCTGGCTGGGAAACAATATTTGGGAGCAGACTATGAGCCTCAGTCATCATTTATTCATCCGTATTGCTCATGAACCGTCTAGCCCAGCAAAAAGTACTTCTCAAACGGCTCAAGATTCCCGCCGTCTCGGCGTTACATTTGGATACTGACGGCATCATAGCGCGTGTACCCGCAAGTGACTAGTGCTTCACCATGCAAGAGAGCAGTAATGCAGAATAAAGAAACAGCTCAAATTTTTTCGTGCAGGGTAGTCACCCGCTAGAAGATATAATAATAATAATAATAATAATAATAATAATAATAATAATAATAATAATAATAATAATAATAATAATAATAATAATAATAATAATAATAATAATAATAATAATAATATATTTATTATTATTATTATTATTATTATTATTATTATTATTATTATTATTATTATTATTATTATTATTATTATTATTATTATTATTATTATTATTATTATTACATGAGTTTTATGGTCCAAAACCTCAAGATTTTATTAGATTCCTTTGCTGCTGGTGCACAGAAGTCGAAACAAAAGACTGCGTAGAGTTTCTCTTGTTTCAGAGTAGAGTATATCTGAAGTAGCCTGTTTTCGAATCA